AGCAGGTGCACTGAGGCCACGGGCAGGATCCCCCAGCAGGTGCACTGAGCCCACGGGCAGGGAACGGTGATGTCCACAAAGCCAGCAGCAAACAGGTGGTGGGTGCGCCGTACTGCGCAGGCATCCCTTGCCCTCCCGTGGGAAAGATGCACACAGACTGCACCACGACACCGCCACAGCCACAGCTCACAGGAGGCAGCACCACGCCTCCTGCCATCTGCAGGCTCGGGGATGCTGCAGTGTGCACCGGCGGCCCTCGGACTGGGCATCGGGGAGGAGCAAATGTGTCCGGGTGAAAGTGGCCGTGCGCGGGTCACACCCTGACAGCTTTCAGAACCGATTCGGGGAATCACAGATAGGCATGCACGCCTGTGTGCACATCAGTGCACGTGAACACATACATGAGTGTGAACATCTCTGTACGTGTGGATCCATGTGTGTGGATCCCTCCCTTCCAGCACATCTACACCCGGGTCTCCCCTCTCTCTGCCTGTACCCCGTCTCTGCCTCACTGTGTGCTGGGTTCCCCAATACCATCTCCCATGCAGAAGGCGAGGTGGTCTTGTTATCGGGTCAAACCATAGAAATTCAGTCTAGAATGTGCACCGTTCATGTTGCTTCACGCCCCGCACATCGGCCTTACTGCTGAGATGAGAACAGGGTGGTCCATCTCCTAAACCAGTCAGAATCAGAAATCTGTGTTTTCCAAGCCGTGTGTGACCAGCCCCCGTCCATCACCTCCTGGCTTCGGCGAGTGTCCAGCCCAGAGCGAGGCCAGGGCCCTGAGGACGCCTCCCAACAGAACCTTTCTGCATTCCTTTGCGCACCTGGGCACAGGGTCACCAGCACACACTCAGCCCCCTGTGGCTTCCCTGGTCTGCAAACGCTCGCCTTTGGGAGGTATTCATTAGTTCTCAGGCACTTTTCCCCACGCTCGGATTTTCAGTGAACTGATCTTTCTCCAGGGATCCATGATGGACACAGTGATGACCATCACGGTGACACCTAGCATTAAGGAGCCCTCCCCGAGACTCGGATACCCGCTCTGACAATGTTACTGAGTGTTCAGTCCTCACACTAGTGTTATCGTAACTCATGGGGGTAATAGTGCAAGTATCACTACTATTAACCTTATTTATGTATGAAATAGATGAGGACATTATCGCGGCTCACGGTATTAGCAGTTGCTCGCATCACTACTGTAAACAGTGTTTATGCGTTAAATATATGAGGACATAAATGTAAATATACTGAGTACTATTTATCATGCTCCGGTTAATTTACTATGCTATGTATTAGTAGTAATACTACCAATTATGACCAGTAGTACCCTTCGACGCTTGTTAACCCGAAAAGGCCCCAGGATGCTAAGTCGTCTGAGGCTTTACTATTTAGGAAATCTCCAGCTGAGATCCAGTTCCCAGACTGATCTCTCACCGTGACACGATACAGCCTCGTGAAATAATAGAAAACATGTGTATTGGTCTTTGCTCCCAGTTCCTGGCACAGAGCTCCCCAAACCCTCGAAATGTCCTAAGTGATAATAAGATCACTGGGAGCATCTCAGCTCTAATGTTTGCCGTCTGACCCTGGTTCCTGGTACGGAGCTCCTAAAGCCCTTGTCCTTCCCCGAGTGACGGAGCATCTTCTGTTCTGCAGAGGCCATCCTTGGGCGGGGGGGGGGGGGGGGGGGGGGCGCTCCGTGCCGGGGCTGGTCGGCACAAACACCAAGGCGTGCTGAGAACCTTGGAACTTCCATTCCATCCGCACGCTCCAGACGGGGGAGCAGGGCTGCAAGTGGGGTTGCTGATACATCATGCCTCTATGATGAAGCCTCCATCCTCCTAAGAGCCTCCCCGTTGGCGGACATATGCAGGTGCCGGGAGAATGGCACACTGGGGAGACCATGGGAGCTCCGCGCCCTTCCCCGCACACCTCACCTACGGCACCTCTTCCCTGTGCACGTTCTTCTGCATCCTCCGTGACATCCTTGCATAATACGCCAGGGAAGAGTAAGTAAACTTCTCCCAGGCTGGGAACAGTGGGAGCCACTCTAGCAAATCGGTGGAACCCAAGAACAGGTCATGGGATCCCACTCCCATCTACAGCACAGGTGACAACCAGGACTTCGGATTGGCGTTGCACGGGGGGCTGGGGATACCACTCCCATCTACAGCACAGCTGACAAACGGGACTTGTGATTGGATTGCAGGGGGTGCTGGGGAATCCCACTTAAATCTACAGCCCAGGTGACAACCGGGACTTGTGATTGGCATTGCTGGGTGGGCTGGGGGATCGTACTTTCATCTACAGCACAGGTGACAACCGGGACTTGTGATTGGTTGCAGGGGGCATCGGGGTATTCCACTCCCATCTACAGCACAGTAACAACCGGGCCTTGTGATTGGCATTGCAGGGGGGTTGGGGGATCCCACTCCCATGTACAGCACAGGTGACAACCGGGACTTGTGACTGGCATTGCAGGGGGGGATGGGGGCAGTCCTGTGGCACTGAGCACCTTCTGTCTTCAGTATGACCGATACACAATATCCTCTTAGTTTCAGGCTTACCTCGTAGTGATCATATATTTCCATGCATTACAGAATGATCCCCACGCTTAGTCCAGTTAGCAGGTGTGCCGCATGCCTACTTACTACAGAAGTATTGAGTATGTTCCCTGCGTCGTGTTCGCCATCCCCATGACTTCTTTCATCCGTGCAGTGTGTACCTCCCCTTCGTCTCTTTCAGCCATCCCTCCCCTCCCCCCGTGACGACCGCCACCGTGTTCTCTGTGCTTAAGACTCTTTTTACTTTCTTGGTTTTGTCTGTGAAGTTTCACATGTGAATGAAATCATACAGCCTCTCTTTCTCTGAGTTTGCATAATACCATGTAGGTCTCTCCATGTCGTTGCAAATGGCAACATTTCATTTCTTTTAAGTAGTGTTTTCTGTATACTGTCCTGTTTCATTCATCTATTGGTGGATGCTTGAGTTGCTTCCATATCTTGGCTATTGTAAATAATGCTTAATGAATATGGGGTACATGTGTCTTTTTTTAAAAAGACTTTTTTAAAGATTTTATTTATTTGAGAGCGAGAATGAGAGAGAGAGAGAGAGAGAGAGCATGAGAGGGGGGAGGGTCAGAGGGAGAAGCAGACTCCCCGCGGAGCAGGGAGCCTGACGCAGGACTCGATCCCAGGACCCTGGGGTCATGACCTGAGCTGAAGGCAGACGCCTAACCGACTGAGCCACCCAGCCATCCCCTTGCATATATCTTTTAGAATTACTGTTTTTGTTTTCTCCAGGTCATTACCCAGATGTGGAATTGCTGAACTCTGTAGTAGCTGTGTTCTTAACTTTTTGAGGACCCTCCATAGTGTTTTCCAGAGTTTCTGCACCAGTTTCCATTCCCACCAACAGTATGCGAGGGTTCCTCTTCCTCCACATCCTGAGCACACTTGTTCTACTTGTGTTTTCGATACAGCCAGTCTGAGTGGTGGGAGGTGGTATCTCGTTACGGTTTGGGACAATTTACCTGTGGGACCTGACACTGCGCACATTATCAGAAGTGAGCTGGGTTGTCGGGTACCCAGCTGGTGTCATGGACTTGCTTGGTGTGGAGAGCCCCCCTACCCCCCACACAGCGGGCATCAGGAGGGCTCTCAGTGGGGTTCAGTGAGGGAGCGGTGGAGGAACACAAGTCTGGATAGACGTGCTCCTTTCTCACGAGGGAACTTCCCAGCAGCACACCCATGGCCAGGTGCACCTGCTGTGCTCCCTGCCACGGGGGAGTGGAAGCATGCCCACCAGTGCAGGGTTGCCCACACCAACCCTGCGTGCTGCCCGCCCGAGGCCGCTTCAGTACCAGCTGATGGTGTCACGTGATGTCGGATGGCCATCACTGCCCCAAGCGCACATTTAGGCTCAAATACATCCGTGTTTATATCAGAGAGTGTTGAACAGTAAAATGGGCTTCGTTTCTTTCCCCATTTTTAACTTTGCAGACCACAGCTGCAAACACACCGCAGCAAACTGAGGGGTGGCGACCCAGGGCACTGTTGTCCGAATGCCCTGCGACGTTTCCAGCATTTCCATAGCTCTGCGTGCACGTGACCCACAGTGCGTGACACGTGGTCATGTGGCGGGGACCCTGCGATAGCATAGCACACACCCCTAAACATCACCGTACCTTTCTTTCTGCAGATACCGAACGGCTCTACTCACTGGTGTTCCAAGAAATATGTGACCGCTATGGAAAGAAATACAGCTGGGACGTGAAGTCCCTCGTTATGGGAAAAAAGGCACTGGAGGCGGCACAGATCATAATAGACGTCCTGCAGCTACCGATGTCCAGAGAGGAGCTGGTGGAGGAAAGCCAGACGAAGTTGGAAGAAGTGTTCCCCAAGGCTGGTCTGATGCCAGGTACCGTGCCCTCCCACCGGACGAGATTCCGTTCATGCGCCTTCACCGTACTGTTGTAAGTCACGGTTAACGGCCAGTGCCCGGCTGGCTCTGTGTCTTCCTTTGTCGTCATACCTCCTCAGAAAAATCTCGTCGTGGGTGAGGTTCACAGATACTCCGGAGAGAGTGTGGTTAATCCTATGCTGTGGTTCCATCTTGTCATTTTTACGGGCTTCTAAAAATAATATGCGTTCCTTTCACGGAGTCCCAAGGTGCAAAGACATTTGAACGGTGTTTGTATTAATATTACATAAACATTATCTTCATGACGGGATTGCTTCCAAGTCTGATAGGTGGCTTTCCCTTTTCCTGTTCAAAATCAGGTACAGGATGATCTTAGCGACTATGTAAACTTCAACAAACGGATGACGAGCAAGCCGCTAAATCTCCCCAAAGAAGCTTAATTTTTTTCTTTTTTTGAAGTTACAGCATAATTCATTTTCAACATGTCTGTATGCCCTTCGCGCCTTTCTTTACTTGTTTTCCTTTGAAAGCAAAGATGACTTTTCTCCCTTGGGGCTTGTTAACTGAAGATTGATCAGAACTGCATTGTGTGCTATTTCTTGCTAAAAGTGAGAAGGTCAAGAATGTTCTAGATTGCAGGGCCGAAAGGTGCTTTAAAAGACGGGGCTGTTTTAAGAATCTTCCAGGAAGAAAGGTGAATACTCCGTCTTTGGAATTCCTTGTGCGAGGGGAGAAAAAAAAATTGCAGTGACAAGCAGTGATTTTGGATTTACAGTTGTATTGATGTGAATCGTAGTCATTTTTGAGAGTTGTGTTTTTTAGAAATATTTATACATCCATCCAAAAGTGCAGGTTGAATAATGCTGGAAGTAGAGAATTTTCTGGAAAGGCCCAGCTAACGCCATTGCCCATGGTGTCACATGGAAACCATGCGGACTGTACTTGGATGAGACGCATATCTGAGCGTCAGGCGTGGGTACAAGCTCTGTGATACACGCTGTCTGCATCTGCCCCCGTTCTGCGCCCTTTGCACACAGACATGTCCTCACAGCCCCTCATGGTGCAAACGCATCCATACAGCTCATTTTTTGAGATTTTTAAATTTTATTTATTCATCTGACAGGGAACGTGCACAAACGGGGGAGGGTCAGACAGAGAGAGGGAGAAGCAGACTCCTCGCTGACCAGGGAGTCCGACCCAACACCGGGCTTGATCCCGCGACCCTGGGACCATGACCCCGTACGGCTAATTTTTTAAATCACGGTTAAAAACAGACACAATTGGGGAACCTGGGCGGCTCAGGCAGTTAAGCGTCTGCCTTCGGCTCAGGTCACAGTCCCACGGTCCTGAGATCAAGCCCCGCATCGGGCTCCCTGCTCGGCGGGAAGCCTGCTTCTCCCTCTCCCACTCCCCCTGCTTGTGTTCCCTCTCTCGCTGTGTCTCTCTCTGTCAAATAAATAAATAAAATCTTAAAAAAAAAAAAAACGGACACAATAAAACTCACTATCTCATACATCTTTAGGTATCCAGTTAGGTGGCATTGCGAGGGTCACACTCTTGGGTCATGGTCCCCTTCCATCTCTAAAACTTCTTCATCTTGCAAACCAGGAACTCTGTCCCCATCAACCGCTAACTCCCCATTCGGCCTCCCTCCAGCCCCTGGCACCATCATTCCACATTCTGTCTGTAGGAATTGCAGTATTCCAGGTCCCTTACAGAGGGGGGGCTCCTACAGGATTTGCCCTTTCCTGACTGGCTTTTTGAACTTACCATTATGTCCTCAAGGTGCTTTCATGTTGTAGCATGAGACGGGATGTTCTCCCTTTTTTTCCCATTGTGTCGCTAGACACGCTGTGTTTGTCCATTCATCTGTTGATACTCACTTGAGTGACTTCCTCTTCTTGGCTAATGGGAATGGTGCAGCTCTGAACGTGGGAATACGGATACATTTCTGAGACCATGCTTTCCATTTCTGTGGTTCTATACCCAGAAGTGGGCTTGTTGGATTATATGGTAGCTCCATTTTCACTCTCTTGAGGAGCCAGCATAATGTTTTCCAGAGCGGCTGTACCGTATTATTTTTTCTGTAACTGTCCAGGGGTGTTCCAGTTTCTCCACGTTTTCACCAACACTTGATTATTTTCTGTGGTTTTTTTGGTTGTTGTTAGTAGCCATTCTAAGATGTGTGAAGCGATAACTCATTGTAGTTTTGATTTGCATTTCTCTAATGATAAATGATGTGGCGCATCAGCCCATATGCTTTTGGCTATTTCTGTATTTTCTTTGGAGAAGTATCTTTTTAAGTCTTTTGCCCGTTTTTTAAAATAGGGTTAATCTTTGGTTGTTGTTAAGTTCTAGGAGTTCTTTATATTTTCTGGATAGACCCCTTATCAGATACATGGTGTGCAAATATTTTTTTTTTCCTATTTCGTAGGTTACCTTTTCACCCTCTTGATTGTGTCCTTTGATGTCCAGAATTTTTTAGGTTTGGTGCAGTCCCATTTGTGTCTATGTTTGCCCTCCTTTCCTGTGCTTTTGCTGTCCCATCCAAGACATCATTCTAAAATCCATTTTCATAAAGCTTTCCCCCTGTTTTCGTCTAGGAATGTTATAGTTTTAGGTGTTCAATTAATTTCAAGTTAATCTTTGTATGTACTGTAAGGGCTGAACATCATTCTTTTGCATGTGGGTACCCACTATTCCCAATTCGGTGGGAATTTGTTGAAGAGGCTGTCCTTTCCCTGTCGAGTGGTCTTGGCGTCTTGTTGAAGGTCATTCAGCCATATATGTGAGGGTTCATTTCTGTGCTTTCTGTTCTGTTGGTCTTCATTCCAGTACCACATTGCTTTGATTCCTATAGCTTTATAATGTATTTCCAAATCAAGGAGTTCAAGACCTCCGACTTTTATTCCTTTTCGGTATTTTTATGGCTGTTCAGAGTCCCTTGATGGTCTGCGTAAATTTTAGGATGAGTTTCTGTATTTGTGCAAAAAAAACATCCTTGAGGTTTTGGTAGGGATTGCTTTGAATCCGCGTATCGCTTTGGGTAGTGTGGACGTTGTAACGGTATCACATTTTCCGGTTCATGAACAGGGGGATGTTTTCCATTTACTTGTATCTTCTTAAATTTTTTTTCAGCAGTGATTTGTAGCTTCAGCATACAAGTGTTTCACCATCTTACAAGTGTATTCCTTTTTGATGTATTCTAAATGGAATTGTTTTAACTTTCTTTTCAGATTGTTCATTGTCAGTATATAGAAATGCAGCTGATTTTTGCATGTTGATTTTTGTATCCTGGGATGTTGCTGAATTTGTTTATCAGTTCTAACAGTTTTTGTGTATTTGAAACCTTTAGGGTTTTTTTACATATAAGATCATGTCATCTGCGACCAGGAATCACTTCACTTCTTCCTTTACGACGTGGATGTCTCTTATTTCTCTTTCTTGCCCGATCGCTCTGTCTGGGTCTTCTAGTACTGTGCATAGAACTGTTATCTTGTTCCTGATCTCAGAGGAAACGCTTTCAACCTTTTTCTGTTAGGTATGATGTTAGCTGTGGGCTTTTCATATATGACCTTTCTTATACTGAGGCAGTTTTATTCTACCTACTCTTCTTTTTCCCAGTTTGAGTGTTGGTATCATGAAAAGGTATTGAGTTTTGTCAGTTGCTTTTCCCATGTCAGTTGATAGAGTTTTTGTCCTTCATTTTATTAATGTGGTGTATCAATGATTTTTGTGTGTTGTACACCATCTGTGCATTCCAGAAACGATTTCCACTTGGTCATGGTGTATAATCCTTGTGCTGTTGAAATCAGCTGTTGAAATCAGTATGCTAGTATTTTACAGAGTATTTCTGCATCAGTATTCATTATAGATACCAATTTCCTTGTAGTGTTTTTGTCTGGTTTTCATATGAGGGTAATGTTGGTCTCCTGGAATGAGCGTACGTACCCTCCTCTTCAAATTTTTGGAAGGGTTTGTGGAGTGTTGGTGTTCATTCCTCTTTAATTGTTTGGTAGGCTTCATCACTGATGGCTTTTTCTTTGTGGGGAGGTTTCTGATTCCTGAACACATATCCTTAGTATTTTATATCTGATCAGGCTTTCTGTTTCTTAATTTGATCTTGATACAAGGGTGTATGTTTCTAGCAGTTTATCCATTGCTTGGTTATCCAGTTTGTTGGCATATACTTTTTTATATTCTCCTAAATCCTTTTTTTTTTTTAATGTGGCATTCATTTTAATGTCCCCTCTTTTCATTTCTGATTTTAGTTATTTGAGCCTTCTCTTGTATTTTCTGTTTGTCTAGCTAAGGATTTGTCCAGACAGTTAACATTTGACCTGGATTATATTTTGTTGTTTAACACGCCGAGCACCTAGAATGTATTAGGCACGCAAATGCCTTTTTTCTTTCTTACCCACCCAAGCCTTTCAAGTGCTTCTCCTTGTATTTTTGTCCTGTATTCTAAGAAATCCTTGAGATATGTTCTACGGCAGTACCCAGAAAATGTGATGTCTTCTGCAGCTAATGTGTAATTTTGAACGCTAAGACGTCTGTGTCCTCAACTCCACTTGGTGAATCCAGTCGATGCAGTGTTCCCATCTGGCTTTCCCAGTGACCAGGTATCACTTCAGTAGGGTACCAGTCACAGATAATCACAGAAGATCACCGAATCCAGACATTCCTACTGTAAAAGTGTGGCAGGAGCTAGTTCGTCAAAGAGAGTTTAGTCCTACAGAACTTACCTGGATGACTTCTTTCTCTACCACTTTTTGACCTCTTAACCTACTCTCATTGGTAAAGCTGGTTACAATTAAAATCAGTAGAAGCGAGATATCTTATTTGATTCTATGGATCCTGCATAAAGTAGGGCAAGTTTTCTACCCTAAACACCGCGTCTCCCTTCCATTCTGCACCCCACCTGTTGTCTCGGTACCTGAAATCCACTGCACAGGTGACCTCCCAGAGCCCTGGGTACAGGGACAATATTCAGAAAC